GGCGGTGCTGGATCTTGGGCCGACAGCTAAGTCCTCCACTAGACTCGGGTTTGAGTAAGTTCAAGAGTCCTGTTGGTAGCTAGGGATCGGTTCGTCGAATGTGTCTTCTGTGTCGGCCGCCCAACGCTTCTGTAGCTGGTCAATGTGTCGGCACCAAATCCTCCCATCTCCCATGTCTACCCTATACAACTTGGGCCCTGTTACCTTCGTGATTGTCCCGGTTTCCCAGAGGGGCCGGTTCCCGTAATTCCTAGCGAACACTGGCGTTCCTATTGTGAACTCCCTCAGCCTCTTTTCTGTCCCTCTAAAGCTGTCAGGGGAATAACTGGGGTGTAGCCTGTCTAGGACTCCTCTGAGCTTTGTCCCCATTAGAAGGTCCACCAGGCTCCTGCCTGTGGCGATGCATGGTGTGACATGTTGGGCCATTAAGAATTTATCTATCCTCTCCTGCCAGTCCCTGGGGCCTAGGCATGAGATGGCTTCCTTAGCCGTTCTCACAAATCTCTCCACCAATCCATTACTAGCCGGATGAAACGGGGCGGAGAGGACGTGTCTGATCCCCAACTCTGCTAGGTACCCCTCAAACTGCGTGGCCGTGAACTGGGGCCCGTTATCTGAGACTAAGGTGTCCGGTAGGCCATGGGTGGCGAACAACTGCCTCAGCTCCCTAATGACGGCATTGGTGGTAGTGGTTTTCATGAGTCTGATCTCCAACCACTTCAAGAAGGCATCCACTACGACCATAAATACCTGCCCATGGAATGGGCCAGCAAAGTCTATGTGGATCCTGGACCAGGGACCGTGGGGCCGTTCCCACTCCCTGACCGGTACTGTGGGGGGGGGTCTGGTCTAGACTCTTGGCAGTGTTGGTACTTCCCCACCCACTCAATGATGTCTTTATCCATTGGGGCCACCATACGCAACTCCTAGCTAACCCCTTCATCCTTACAATCCCGGGGTGCCCCTCATGCAATAGCTTTAAAACTTTTTCCCTTAGGCACAAGGAAACAATAACCCAATCACCCCACAAAAGACAACCCCCTTGCATTGTCAGCTCACCCTTTTTGTTCGTGAAATGTTTGAATTCCCCGCCCTCAGTTTTTTCCGGCCAACCCCTCATGATCCAACTTGTGACTTTCCTAATCACGTGGTCTCTGGTTGAGGCTCTTGTGACCTCCGCTGAAGTGATGGGCCCCGAGTCCAAGACGTCAATCAGCAGGACTGGAACTCCGGGTGTGAGGTCCTCTATCCTGTCCGGTAACGGGCAACAGCTGAGGGCGTCGGCGTTGCCCATGCTCACCCCTGGTCGATGTACCAGGCATAGGAGTATGCTGCCAGGAAGATGGCCCACCATGTCATCCTGGGGATAAGGCTGCTGGGGTGGGTCGGTCTCCTGCGATGAGACCCAGAAGGGGGCGATGGTCTGTGATGAGTTCGAAGTCTCTGCCGAACAGGTATTCGTGGAATTTCTTGACTCCTGAGACAGCTGCCAGGGCCTCTTTGTCAAGTTGGTGTAGTTCCGTTTGGCACTTGAAAGAGTCTGGGAGTAGTAGGTGATGGGTGCCTCTAGACCGCTCGGTAGTCTATGGCTCATGACGGCCCCCACACCGAAAGGGGATGCGTCACAGACTAGCACTAATGGAAGCATAGAATTGTACTGGATTAGGAAACTCTCGGCTGACAGAAGTTTTTTACAGCTGCAAATGCTGAAGCTTCAGCCTTCCCCCATACCCATTTGGACTTTTTGGCCAACAGTCTGTGCAGGGGCTCCACTACTGTTGCCTTGTCCCTTAGAAAAATTGCGTAAAAGTTCAATATTCCCAGGAATTCTTGCAGTTCTGCCTTATCTTTGGGGGTGGGAGCCTCTCGGATCGCCCTAATCTTGCTTTCGGTGGGGTGTATGCCAGTTCCGTCTACCTGGTACCCCAAGAACTCCATAGAAAGGACTGCGATCATGCACTTGTTGTGTTTGACCCTGAGTCCTGCACTCCTGAACTTCCCTAGGACTTGTCTCAGCCTCTCCCCTAGCTGCTGTTTGTCTTCTGCGGTAATGAGCACGTCATCGAAATACGGGACCACCCCAGGTATCCCCTGTAACAGTCGCTCCATGGTGCTCTGGAACAGTCCTGGAGCTATGCTGACTCTGAATTGGAGTCTGGTACACTTGATGGCACCTCTATGCGTTACTATAGTTTGTGCCTCTGCGGTAGCACCATCTACCGGCAGCTGCTGGTACGCCTGCACAAGAATGAGTTTTGCAAAGATCTTGCCTGGCCCTAGGGAATGCAGAAGGTGATGTACGATCGGGACTGGACAGGCGCTCTGCTGCAGGGCCTTGTTGATCGTACATTTGTAGTCAGCGCAGATGCACACAGACCTGTCCAACTTAATGGGGTTCACAATTGGGGTCTCCCACTGAGCATGATCAACTGGCACTAACATCTCCTGCTTTATCAATTTGTCCAATTCCACGTCGATCTTGGGCTTCAGGGCTTCAGGGTACCCTCCTTGGTTTCAGCTGGATGGGGGCAATATTGGGATCGAGGTTGAATGAGATAGGGGTCCCCACATACTTGCCGAGCCACTCGTTGAACATGTCCTGGAACTCCTGCATCAGGTCGTTCTTCAGGGTGCTTTGCACGTTGCGGACTCCAGTGAATCCCATGCCCAGGGCTCTGAACCAGTCCATGCCCAAGAGGCTTGGGAGCTTTCTGCTGATGACAGTGAGGGGAAGCTTCTCCCGGAATTCCCCGTACTCCACCTGGAACTCACCGATTCCTTCCACGGGGATGCGGTTACTCTGGTATTTGCGCAGTCCCAGCCGCTGGTGCTGTAGTTGCTGTCTCTGGATACTGGGGACGGCCTTCTTTAGCTTGTCCCACGACATGATGGTGGGAGATCCGGTGTCGATCTCCATTACACACTTCTGCCCCTCGATGCCGACTGTTGTGTAGGTCTTCTCCCTGGTGGATGTGCAGGTCCGGCCGATTTGGATGGTGCAGGCCTCGAGATCCTCAGATTTCGCGCTTTTCCAGTAGCCGCCCTTCGGATTGGTTCTTGCCCGCTGTGCCATCTCTGATTGGCTAGCATTGCTCCGCGGCTTGTAGTGGTGGTTTTGCTGGCTCTGCAAACTCTGGCGATGTGCCCCTTCTGCTCATTGCCGGCAAATGGCGTCACGGAACTTGCAGGTCTGGTGCGGATGGGGTCCCCCACAACTCGCACAGGTATTTTGCTGACTTCGCCAGTTCTGCTGGTACTGTTCAGTCCTGTAGACTTCTTTGTCTGACTCTCCTTCGCTCCCCATTCCCACGGTTTCCTGGTGAACCAGGGCTGACTTCTGTGCCATTCTGCTCTGCGTCGTCCTCTGTAGTCTCTCAGCTGCCTTGGATGAAGGATTCGCCTCGTCCAGCGGGGTTGAAAGGTGCTGGCGGCACATAGGTAGACATCTTCGGTAGATTCTCCAAGTGCTCCGCTCGCTCACCTGGCTGGATTCGGGTTTGCAGCTCTCTTGTCAGCTCGTGGCTTCAGCTCTTTCCGTGGCTTCTGGCCTCAAAATCCCACCTTCATCGCCAATGTTAAGTTGGGTGAATGAGGACGCAGCAAGCCAGGCAGTGAGTGACAACAGCTCTTTATTGTATGGTGAGAACCCAGCGACTGACCAGGGGAAACAGTTCCCTTTATATACCTTGCAGCTGTGGTGGTCAGCCAATCAGCTGATGGTCAGTTAATTCAAACTGTCCGCCCAAAATCTACATACATAACAAGGGGTCTCCAACTTTGGCAACTTTAAGACTTGTGGACTTCTGCTCTCAGAATTTGCTGGCTGAGGAATTCTGGGAGTTGAAGTCCACAAGTCTTAAAGTTGCCAAGGTTGGAGACACCTGATCTAGACCACAGGGAGAATGGATCCCAAAAGAGGAGGCATATTATTTCTAGATTGCCTTCAGAAATGGTGCTTTGCCACATATAGGAGAACATACAAGCCACCTCTCTTCAAAGCAGCCATGTTGTTTGTAAAATTCACATGACTTCTTTGGCACTGGCACGGTTCCTGGCTATTTCACCAGGCTTATTGCCAAGTGGCGTATGGGCAGAATAGCTATTTCCACTTATAGTTTATCATATTGGTTCTTTAACAGAAGGACACAGCCTGGAATGGGTGGGGAAGCCCCAGTGATTTGGCTGGTGACTGTTCAAAAGAGTCCTTAATATTTCTTAGACATAGAGTTACATATGTTGTTGATTGAGTGTAGAGAAAGGATGTGTTGGCTTGGAATAGGGCCACATTTCTTTTTTTAAAAAATTAGCCGTCAAAAGAGGCACAATCATAATGATGATGATGCATCAATTTCAATTGGACACAGTAGAATTGTACTTTATTTCGTTATTTTGGGTGGAATTAAAAAGGTGGTACAATATAAATTTGATAAGCTACTCGAAGGTTACTCCACTTACTTCATTTCCAAACCAAGAAAAACAAAAATTTGTTCCTATGCTTTGGTATATGTACTACTGAATAGTGGTGGGATTCAAAAAAATTTACTACCAGTTCTGTGGGTGTGGCTTTGTGGGTGTGGCATGGTTTGGTGGGCATGGCTTGGTGGGCGTGGTGGGGGAAGGATAATGTAAAATCTCCATTCCCTCCCCACTCCAGGGGAAGGATACTGCAAAATCCCCATTTCCTCCCAATCGGCTGGGATTCGTGAGGCAGAGAATAGATGGGGGCAGGGCCAGGTCAGAGGTGGTATTTCCCGGTTCTCCAAACTACTCAAAATTTCTACTACCGGTTCTCCAGAACTGGTCAGAACCTGCTGAATACCACCTCTGCTACTGAAGTCAGAAAGCACAGTTGGGGGCTCTAGGGGAAATATTGAGACCATTTGTAGCCCACATGAAAGCACAAAAATATATTTTTAACCTTAAATTTAAATCATTTTCCTTCTTGTTCAGGAGTTGCTGAAATGCAACCACATTAATTCTTATGATATAAATAATGATACCTGTCATCTCTTTTCCCATGATCTTTTGGGATCATTGCTAAGTTGGTATTGAAAAGATAGATGATGTTGTAAGATGACATTTCGCCCCAGACGGATACCAAATATGGGCACCTAGAAAAGTGAGACATCCATTTAATTACAGTGCCTTCTTGTTTTATCGGGTTAGCATTACAAGACAGCAGGAAAAGAAATGTTAACTTTCTCCTGTTGATTCTGTCTTTATAAAGAAAACAGGAATGGATTAAGACATGTAAGTAAAACAGTGGAGAAAACCTTTTAATGAGGTTTCTGATTGTGTAGTGCTTTTCAAGTTATACATACACAGCAGGCAACTTTTATCTCGCTAAATTATCTTGCAACAGATAATGAAGCTGTTGTTTGGGATTCCTGAGGTATATAACAGATGGCACTAAAGTGGAACTGTGGGTGATAGTCAAAGCAAGAAGGAGAAAATTTTTTGAAGTTGTTATATATAGATGGCACAGAGGTGAAAATGTTTCTTTCTGGCTCGGGAAAAAATAAATACCGGTATCAAAATACATAGCTGCAAAATAGAAAAAGAGGCCAAGAGGGCTTGCTTAAAAGGAGCTATAACTAGCTTCTGAAGCGTGTCTTCTACGGGATACAAAAAAGGACTAATCAGTGTGGTTATTATCCCTGGGTATGACTAATTTACCTATTTTCTGTTTTCTCTTGTAAAAAATGTTAGTAACAGTGTTTTTCTTGAAATTTTAGAGGCACTGTGATTTTGACTGTAATTTAAAATTGCTTTAGAACTAAATCTTAAATTTAATTGGTAAATCACTCTGAGTTGACTTAAGTAGAGTTAACTCAGAGTTAGATCTTAAGCAAAATATAAATACCCATAGTCAGGCAAATTCTTTTATGGGACCAAACAGATATTTCCCAGATTATAGATGACATTTGAAATCAGGAGTGTCAAACTCATCGGGCATGGGCTGGATGAATCACATCCTGGCCACACCCACCCTAGTTTAGCAAATGGGGGGAAAGTCACAATACGTCACATGGCAACGATGTAAGTTTGACACCCTTGTGCTAGCCCTTCAAATCCAGAGGAAACATTGGGAATCTATCTTGATAGCATTTCCCCTAGAAATGGGAGCTAGGTTGATGTGAACTGGCTCAGTTTCAAAAGACCTTCACAACCCTTTGTAATCTTGGAGTGACATATCAGTAACCTTGCATCAGTGCATTGCTTGCATGTGGAAGGATCCTAACTGGGTGGTGTCTGATTTGCTTTTATCCTAGAAATTACTGCTTTGAATCATATGATTGAAATGGTATAAAAACATTTGTAATAAATACTTTTTTTTGGAACAGAGAAACACATTTGAATCCTTATGCAGTCAATGGCATAAACTATGATCAATGACCAACACATATTAAGAAGCCTTTCTCACTGTAGGTAATGTAATTATCTATATGGATCAGCTTCAACCCGTTTTTCACCTGGACTTGCTTTTGATCTATTCCTTGTCTTGAATGGGGTAGTTTATGCGTGCAACCAACAAACACAATTTACTAGTTCTGATTCTTTTAATAAACGATTGAGGAGAAATATACTACCTATGCTGTGAGATATGACATCAAGGAAGTTTTCTTTTTCTTAGGACATGTAGGATACAGCTCAGTACAACATATACATATAAAAAAAAATTTTAAAAAATTTTTTAATTGAAAATTGTACTAATAATAGTAAAAGACAATGCAAATTAAACTGACAAAGAAAAAGAAGAATGAAAGAGAAAAGATAGTGCAAAAATAAAAAAAAAAGAAGAGAAAAAATATTTTAAAAAGTAACTTTCAATCTTCATCATAAGTGCAAAGAAACTCAGTACTCCCCTTCCCTCTGCAAGGTTATGTACAAGTATCTCTTCTTCCCGTAACTCATCCCATATTTAACATAAATTCGTAAATTATTAACATTTGTACCCTGGTATCAGCAAAAAAGTCCATAAAGGTCTTTCCAGAACTTTATAGAAATATGTCTTGTTTTAATCTTGGTCCAAGAAATCAAGTTTGACCTCTTTCCTGTTGCTTCTAACAATCTTGGTCTTTAATTCATTCAGAGGATTTGTTGTAGGATTTGATCTCTCTTCAAATGCTCTTTTTCTTCTTTGAGCCTTTAGCAAACCTGTTTTTCTGAATTCAGTAAGGAATCATTATCCAGGTCATTCTTTTGGCTTATCATTTGTATTTCATCGTTAATTGTCATCTCTGTTTCATAATTAACATTTTAAAAATATTTTATAGCATTTCAATTACTTTATATTCTAATATTTCTACATCAGGTGAAGTTTCTTTCAGTTCTTTATCCTGTAGACTTCCAAGGTATTTTCTTTCACATCTGTTATTTGTTCCATAATATCTTTTTGGAAATTATCCAAAAGCAGACATCATTTTTTTTAATATAACTTTTTATTATTTTTTATAAAAACAAACATTTAGTACATCTGTCGCCCCCTCCCTGTGACATCTCGGTGTTATCTTCGGTTCTTCTTCTTTTTCTTCCAAAAAAGGAAATTTCTTCTATCTTGATCTTTATACAAACCATTTTAATATCTCCTTACTAAGACAAAATTCTGTCTATCAAATTTTTACATATAATCATAAAACTTTTATCTTTTATATCTCTTTTCCAACCAATAATAAAAACAGGTCCATATCCTATAATACTCTATCTCTTCCCTATCTTTAATCATCAAAGTCAATCTATTCATTTCTGCACAAGCAGACATCATTATTGACATCATAGCTGCTGTTTTCTGATTTCATTTGTCAAAGGGCTCCTGCAGTATTTCACATATCATTCCATTTTCTATTGTTTTGTTTCAATGCTGACCTAAAACAAAAAGAAAATCTTTCTCTGTTTTGTTTCCTTTTTCTCATTTATGCTTGGATCTTCAGTTCTTCCACTGTCCAAACACAGAAACTTTAATTTCTTATTACTTAAGACAGACTAAATTTCCTATGACAGTGCTATTTATTTATATAACTTTTTATTTATTTATTTAATTTGATTTATATGCCGCCCTTCTCAGGAGACTCAGGGCGGTTTACAATGCATTAAGCAATAGCCTTCATACTTTTGTATATTTATACAAAGTCAGCTTATTGCCCCCACAAACTGGGTCCTCAATTTACCCACCTTAGAAAGGATGAAAGGCTGAGTCTACCTTGAGCCTGGTGAGAATTGAACTCGCAGTAATTGCAGGCAGCTGGATGTTAAATGCTTCCTTAGGAGGCATTAGCCTCCTACGCCACTCATGCTCCTGATTTCCAGGATCTTATAGCACAAATCATAGCATTCCATATTTGTCTGATTTCTTAATTCATTCATAACTTTTTAAGTTAAAATCTTATTTAGCTTTTTGCTGCTTATTTCAAATTGTTTACATTCTTAAATTCACAATTATTTTTTTTCTTTTATTCTGGGATGAAAGTAAATTTACCAGATGGCTTTGTAAATTTGTCATTTTGAAGATTTCTATTATTTGTATTAACATAATTAAATAGTTAATTTCTGAAAGTGATTGGAAAGTGAGGTTAACAAACCTGTGACTTTAAATAGACTCTACTATGGTTGAGAGCTTTCTTTTGTCTCCTGGCAAACCTGCAGTGAACCACTGTCTTGCAGTCTCCTTACAAGAAGCAGCCATCTGGGCATTCAAATAGGCAATCCCTCGATCCTCTTTATTTCCATAGAGTTTTGTGGGACTGGTCTACTTGATAGTTTTTTGGTTGTGGCTGCAACATAGTTTTTGTTAATTTGGAGAAGTGTTAGTTTGCCATTTCTCACCAGAATTCCCCACACATATATTTTCTTTCTCTAATTCAAATGCTTGTCATCAATCTATCAATGACCCTTAATCAGGGGCCAGGAGCCCCATTTTGTTTCTTATAAAGTGGTGTCTGTATAAATTCTCAGTAATCCAGGTCATGGTTGTCCCAAAGGTGCTTTTTTAGGAGGCAACTGTACTTACTTGTTTTTTCTTTGAAGACATTTCGCTTCTCATCCAAGAAGCTTCTTCAGCTCTGAAAGGATAGTGGGGAATGGAAGGATTTATATTCCTTGCAGACAGCTGGTCATTTGCATCCTTTTAGAGGATCATTGAAACACTTAGATGTTTATCTGTGTCCTCAGGGTCACCTGAGTAGTGCTCCTGGTTCCTGTAGTCTGCAATTTTTTCCTCTGGAAATCCATTCCTACTCCCACACCATTCAAAGAGTGTTCATCCCCAATTGCATTATTTATTAAGAGGTGGTAACAAGATCAGAAAGAGCAGGGTATTTAGTCCTTTTATTTCATTAATAGGATAGTGTATGAGAGAAGGGGGGCTGAAGAAAAGTTTAGGCTGCAAGTAACCCAACAATTTTGGGTTGCCCATCCCTATCTTATATGCAGGTTAATAAAATCAATCTCCAGCATACTATAATATGAGAGGCAACACCTATGGCAGAACCAGTACAGAGAACTGCCAATAACTCATGCAACTTTTTCAGCACCTTTTTAATGCCTGCCATTAAATACAGCATAACAGCCAATGTGAAAACAGTGAATCCAATTATGACTTCTTATGTGCTGACTGAGATTTGTTCTCACTTTCATTTATGGTAAAATGGGAATTGTTAGAGTACAATTTTCATTGGTTGGGGCTTTTTTTTTTTTTGGAAACATCCAAAATATAGGGTAAATTGACCTATACCTGCAGTTTATACAGACAAGTTGTTGCTTGCATGATGGCAATGGCGATGGAAGTGGTACTGATGATGTCATTTTAAATTTCACTGAATCCTTTTCTTTTCTGCTGGATTTTTAATTAAAGTTGCTGTGTTGCAATTTTGCTCTTCATATCCATCCTCAAATAATAATATTTCCTGGTTCTGATTTAGACACAGAAAAAAAGAGTCACACTTTCCCCCCCCTGGACTTGAGTCTCCTAAAACAGGGGTCCCCAATCCCTTGACCATGGCCATGGCATGCCAGAAATCAGGCCTTGCAAACAAGCAAAGCCCCATCCATGGGATGTAGGCAGCATATGAAACCAAGGCCCCTCTGGTGCACGGAAAAACCTCTCTCCGCGGAA